GTAGATAGCCCAAGTTACATCACGCTGTTCACAGTGACCAAGTTCTTGATCATGTCCAGCAATGATCTTGACATATCCACCTGGTGCCAATCTAGCCATCACTGCAAGATTCTCCCAATCATTGAAACAAACTGTCCAATTCTTTTGCTCAATAAATTCCTTGGCAGGAACAAGAAGATGAGCTTCCTGGAGAATCACGACATGTGCACGTAAAAAGAAGAGCATGTTGAAGAAAAGGTTGTTCTCAAATTGCTCATTCTGAAGTGACATGGCGCTCTGTTTGCGTGGCCTCATTGCACTATCAAGTCCTTGGAGAAACCTTGGTGTGGTGTACTTCTGACCACGAACCATGTTGCCATAGTTCCAGGATAAAAATGTCAAGGACTCTGAGCTGGCCAATAAGTTAGTTCCATATGGTTCTTCTATTCTTCCCTTGAGGAACCTTCTGCACAGCTCTTCATAGAAGGTGACAAAGTCCCAACTGGGTCTGTTGGGACCATATGATTCCAGTTCCTTCTTAAGTTCCTTCTTCGTATCCTCCAATTCTTCTCGAGCATGTTCTGCCCTTTCAAGGGCCTTTGGATCGACCTGATACTTGCCATCCAAATGAATGATGCGATCATCATTGATAAAGAATCTCTTCAAATCATGCTCTGGTTCGTGTTCATAACAATCAGGTGGAGGTACTGGACAGATATTACGAATGGATCGAACAAAATCATTCTCGTTGATCCTTGACTGATAATGAGGATGGGAAATCTCACCTTTTCTGAAACAAACATGATTCAGCAATCTTGCGTGAGTTTCCCTGAAGCATTGTTGATAAAGGCCAATACCTGGATCTCCTGTAAGCTCTCCAAGCAACTTCAAAGGTGAAGTATGCAACTCATAGGTATTGTCAACTTTTGTTGTATCCTTTTCAACAACTACTTCAGATGGAAAAGATTCCTGGATTTCAGCCTCCAATTTCTTCTCTCCATCATCCTCTCTGACCTCTTTTATTTTCTCCACCGCCTCTTTCTTCTCTTCCATGGTTGCATCATCCTGAACTTCTTCATGAAAATGAGGATCAGGTATTTTATTCAGGCGGCCTTTCTTAGATTTCGGCAGACGTGGAGTATCATCAAGGTTAGCATCCATCTCACCTGATGGTAAGTGCGATGCAGCCGAGTCCTCACCTATCTCTCTTGACAGAAAGTGTGGTGTTGACTCCTCCTTGGCTTCCTCCTGGTCCACTTCCATCTTTGGTTCCTCTGAAGGAAAAACACCTGCATTCTCATCAAATATTTCTTCTTCCTTTTCAGGTTCAACTGCAGGATCTTCTTCAGGAACTTCCTCTTCCATATCCTCATCTTCTAGAAGTGTCATACTTCCAGTATAGATTCCACCAGCGATAGTGGAGACTCTTGTATAAGGAGGAACTTCTTCACCTGCATCAAAAGCTTGTTCTGCAACATCCTTGGTGAGCAAGTCCTCTACAAGATTTTCTCCCATGGTTCTTGGAAGAGGTCCTGAGGTCTCATAAAAATCTGTCCTCTCTGAACTGAAAGCTTCTGTCGCCTTCTCATTGTCCTTTTGATCCCTGAACAGGTGAGTAATCTTCACAGCTTCTCCCTGTAGCACCTGATCACCTTCTCTATACTTGTCGACAATGGAGCGCCATACTGGAACATTATCATCATCGAAATCAAGCTCCATATCATCTGCCAACAGGTATGAGATGTTTTGAGCTGCCTGTTCTTCTTCTTCCTCACGTTCCTTGGCATGTTCCTCATCCTTCTGGATCTTAAAGATACCCTTCAGGATGTCTTGTAGTACCTTTAAGTTCAGCTTCGATAATGGCTCATACGTCCCTGAACTTACAGGCTCAACTACAACACGAGAGCAAGAAATCGCCTCCAAAAACTTGGAATTGTATTGGCGTTCAAACTCTTCCTTCAAGGGATCAGAAACTGCAACACGCGCTTGAACATACTCACGAAGTTGATAGCATGCATGTTGCACAAATCTACTGTTGGAGTTGTGAAGAAAACTCTCAAAATGATTCCTGTCACGGTCAATCAAATACCACTCAATTCTTGCAGAAAAACGGAATTTCTTGAAGTTCATAGCAAAATGTGCATGATACTTCTCTGGATCCTCTTCTGCTTGTAAGGCGGCCTCTGAAGTCTTGTAAAGAGGGAGCTTTGTGTGTGGATCCAAGATCATAAACTCTTCCCACAAGATCGAATGCTTAAGAACCCACCTGGGAAGCACCTTGACGAAAAAGTCACAAACAAGTTCAGACAAAAGGTGCATGACACGGCCAATCTCTTCCTCCTGCTTGAAACGATAGTGCAGTTTGGCAAATAATGGATTGTTAAATGCTTCCTCCACTGAGTTGCCGAAATTATCCCACTGAGGTTCTGGGATACCAAAGTTCCAACCCAGCAATTTGGGATCCCTGCACATATCCAGGAAACTTGAAAGTTCTGCAGAAGCAATGCCATGGTCTGTCAGAATTTCAGCCCAACGGCGTCCATTCTCCCAAGCACGGATGAAGAAAAACTGTTGGTATCCAGTTTGTGCCAACTCCATCCATTGAGAAAATCCAGGTTCAAAACTTGGTGCATACGTCTTGGGGTCCTCCTCTGTTCCATAAACACTTGGACGCAACAACTTGTATCTTCTACAAAAATATTCTCTCTGGTGCCTTGTCAACCTGTCCCAATCCCTCACTAGAATCACGTCTTCTCCAGTGCTCTGGAGTACACGTGTTCCTACACGATCATGGAGTGATACCATGCCAATGTCATATACCATCCATGGGTTGAGAACCAGGTTGCTGACATTCTGAATGAACCATGTCATCTCACGCTCAGCAACATGAGCAGAGTCATCTTCTTCATCTTGTTGAGGTTCTCCAGAAGTCCTGGCTGTTGAGCTCTTCGAAGTGATGTCCTTCCAAAGGTGGTCAAAACGAATCACTTCCTCATCAGCCTTCACCAGTTTCGCCTGATCCTTGCTCAAAACTAATGGATGCACCATAAACAAGGACCTTGAGGTAACACCATCCCCATTGACAATCAACTTTGGAGCACTATAGCCTAAGATACTCCAAGGATCACGATCATCAATCTCTTTAGGTGTAATCAAAGACCATCCTTGTGGATAATGGCCTTCTGACATCACCTGACGTGACCTCAATCGTGAACGATTGTACTCACGTTCAGGATGATTCTCATAGCTGACAAAACTGGCGATAGCACCTAAATTCAGATCATCCAACCAGAGAAGCATATGCCTCTTAGCTTGTCTTGTCTCAGGCTCATCTGCATGAATCCTCCTGAGAAGTTCTCTGGCATATGGCTTGTCAATAGATAGTCTGGTGAACAATGATCTCACTCTCTCTTGTTGCATCTTCTCACTGTTGATGAGCTCCATCATCTCCTCTGCGGCCTTAGGATTTCCCAACTCCTTAGCGGGATCTGGAGCATCTTGTGGTTGTGGTTCATCCACACCAATGTCCAAGTATTTGGGCTCTACATCACAATGTGTGAGCACCACTCCATTGTTGCTGAAGTACAGAGGACGTCCAGCCCGAAGCCAAAGAATCACGTTAAGCTTCACATACAAAGGCTGTCCATAATCCCTTGGAACCACTGTACCTGGGCCTAAAGGAATGTAAAGCAAAGTTTGTGGATTGCTGTACATAAAATGAACATAATCTCTTCCTTCACCTCTGTTCCTTCTGTTCCAACTTTGAGGGTCTCTCATCAAACCATGACTCTCAATGCTGGCCCAGTTCTCCCTTCTGGTAACATGAAAAACATGTCCCAAACATCTTGCCTCTATAGAAGTCAATCTATGATTCAACTTCTCTGGACTGATGTTATGCGTGAGTCCTGTATGCCCC